TTCTCTTGGGTTGAAAGTAAGATTAGCATACGTTACATCCCTTGGCCGTTTATGCAAAACTGAATAAATTGTAAACGTGAAATTTACAGCTTAAAGTCTTCACTTGAGGCTATAGGTATACAGCCTATAGTTATTACACTTTGAATTGATACAGAACTATATATGTATAGGGGGTGGATCCATGGCACTATATTTTTGACACAAGTCCTAACTCATGTGGATGGGCGACCATGCCCTCTAAGAAACTGAAGACGGAACAAGGGCCATAAATCAGCTGTATTTTTTTCGCTGCTCTGTTTTGGTTTATGTCTTCTGCTGTTCTGGTTTTGTTTCTTAAAATGAAAAAGGTTTGTTAAAAATAAAAATAAAATTGAATTAACTGTAATTAGTTTTGTTTAATTTGCCTTTTCTATTCTATCCGGAAAGAGTCACGGTGCATAGGCAAAGGGTGATAGATCACAGCTTGAGACGTTGTAGTGTGGCGAGCTACTTAGGTTCATTATGTTTAAGATCCTATTGATTGATGAAATTTCCAGCTCATTTTATATTTTTGTTGAAGCTCTAAATGGAACTTGATTTTCAGTAGCTCATCTGTTGCAATTTCACCTTGCTTAAAGTGTTCTCTTGCCAACTGCAGGGTTTCCAACTTTTGATACAAGACCTTGCTGATGCAACCGGAGAAGGAAACTTCCGAGCATCAAAAACAAAGTTTAGTTGACTCGCAGTAGGAGAACAGAAAAGGTTTCATCCAATTCGTGCTAACTGATCTCATTGCTGTATTGTAAAGAAGCTTTCATTCAATTCATGGTTATGAGTTTTGACTGATTGTTTAGTTTCTGGTAGTTTTATGCCATATAATTACTTAACCTACTTTTCCTGCTTCATTGGATAAGCGGAATTTCCCTATATTTTTTTTGTCTTACTTGATCTTCTTTTGTTGCAGTCCTTAGGAAACGTGTTATCGTTTCAATACCTAGTTAATGTTTTTAAAGGAGATTTTAGAACACGCATCAGTGTCTATGAAGTTAATTGATATCTAATTATATGTTGATTTATGCCTCTCAACTTTCTGGAAGTTTTAATTTGCTCGTCGTTGTATGCAGATACCGTGAACTGGGTTACCTTTTGAAGGTGTCGAGAAAAGTAAAATACTAAAGCTTGATTAAGGATTGCTTTTGACCATTATGTGTAAACTGTATCAAACCTATGCTAGATGCACTGATTAACTGATATGTTCAAAGAATTCTGCGGCACAACCAGCTGAAATTTTTGATACTGCTGCTGCAATTTCTTTACTTGAGGTAGGAAAGCATACCTGCAAGCCATGCAGGAGTTTCTAATAATGGTAAGCCCCCTCAGCTATGTTTTAATATTTGTAGATTCAGTTAATGCACTGGCACTGATTTCGGTCCTTTTCAGATAATGGAGCTTGATGTGTCCAAGACGAATGCAGAATTGCAAGGTTCTACTACCAAGAGCTGATGGTGTCAGGTATATATATATATCTCTCTCTCTCTCTCTCTCATGTACAAGAACATAGTACATGTTACTCTCCAAATACTCTGATAAGTCATGCCTCATTTGTCATGAATCTTTACTATAAGGCTGATGGACGCTACAACTGTGACTTCAATGGCATTGGCCTCGTTGTCATGACTAATCCAAGTAAGCCAAAAAATACACTTCAAAAGTCCTTTTGTCTTCACTGTTATGGTTTTGATCATTTCATCCATGAATTCAATTTTTTTTGCAGGGGAGATTTCAATGTTGGTCAATGCCCATTATGAGATTAGCTCTAGCTTGTTATGCAGAATTGCCGGAAGAGAGGGATTAACATGCAAGAAGCTCTAGTCACATTCAATAAAATCAAGATTAAGTTTTTGAAGGACCATGCACGTCTTAGTTTCTCTTGTCTTGTTGTTTTTAATTTTTGAATTCATTTTCTTCTTGTTGTTTTGGATCTGCAAAGACTCTATTAATTTGTTATAGTGATGATGGAAGATGTATTAATGTAACATTTCATCAGTTGGCTTCCTTCTTGTGAATGTCTCCATTGGTACAATACCAAAACTATACACATCTCCTCTGGTTGAAATGATTCCTTCCATTCCAAACTCTGCAATATTATATATGTGAATTTAGTTATATATGATTAAAAGAAAATCATAAGGTCACCTTGTTCATAATGAAGGACAACATATATAAAATTGAAAAGTCACCTTGTTCACCTTGTTCATAGGGTCATGGTTTGGGTCATAGAATCTCCTTCACCTAAGAGTCTTGCAATGCCAAAACCAGCAACATGTGCAACCATATCATCATCAAGTAGTATTGCTTGGCTTCACATCGCAATGGACAACATAATTTGGACCATGACCATGATGTAGGTACTCCAATGCGGATGCAACATCTGTTATTATATTCAACCTTTGAAGAACATTCAATGGAGAGTTTTGATTTTGAGAGTACAACCACTTCTCAAGGCTTCCATTAGGCATGTATTGTAGTACCAAGGGTTTGAAATTAGGTTGATTGCAACAACTGATGATTTTGATAAGATTTCGGCGACGAATATTGCTGAGCACATCATATTCACTATCAAAACACTTGAAAGCCCCTTCAATCTGTAAATTGAAAACCTTTACAGCAACATCTATCCCATCTAAAATTGTACCTTTGTATACTGAGCCAAAACCCCCAGTGCCAAGTAAGTTGCTTTCATGATATCTATCCGTCGCCCTTAGAAGTTCTAGGTGTGAAACTCTTCTCCAAAGAAGTTGAGGTAACAAGGCAGTCTCTGTTGCAACTTCCACTTTCCTTTTCCTGCCTAGTACGAACTTGATACAGAGGCCACCAGGAGTATTGCTGATACGATCCCTGGAATAAGATACTTCAGGTTGGGTGAACTAGCTTTCCTTGAATTTGGTTTATGTATATTATTTTTGCATGGTGGAACATGGAGTCAGGCTGCACCACAGAGCGCACTATTCGAGACAAATGATTGAGAGGAGAGGTTTTGAAAATGTCCTCCTGTTGGAATTTCTCCTTGGAGTCCGTTGAAAGACAAATTCAGATACTTGAGATGGACGAGCGCTTCCAGGGACTTTGGAATCACTCTAGACATATTGTTTTCGGATAAATCCTGGAGTTCTAGTCCATCTCTTCCGGTATTTTTCAAAATCGTATCGCGTGGCTATACTCTTTAAAAACTAGTATAGCCGTGCGGCTTTACTATTTAAAAAAATTGTATTGGCGATCGGCTATACTTGTTTTGACACGTGGGTAGCTGTATAGCCGAACGGCTATACTCGGTTAATTTTTTTTTAAAACAGTATCGCCGCACGGCGATACTCTGTTATTTTAATAATTAAAAAAAGGTATAGCCGGACGGCTATACGTGTTTTACACGTGAGCGCTAATATGCCGGGCTGATCCCTTTTTTTATTTATAAATAGTATAGCCGCTCGGCTATACTTGTTCTAACACGTGAGCGCTAATTTGCCGGGCTGATCCCTTTTTTTAATTTATAAATAGTATAGCCGCTCGGCTATACTTGTTCGACACGTGAGAGGGCTGATCACTTTTTTTATTTATAAATAGTATAGCCGTTCGGCTATACTCTCAGTATAGCCGGGCGTGTTCGACACGTGAGCGCTGATATGCCCGGCGGATCCCTTTTTTTATTTATAAATAGTATAGCCGCTCGGCTATACGTGTTTGACACGTGAGCGCCGGTCGATGGGCTGGTCTCCTTTTTTGTTTTTTACAAATAGTATAGCCGATCGGCGATACTCCCAATTTTTTTTTTGTATAGCCGCACGGCGTTACTGCTGGTTTTTTTTTTAAAGTGTGGCCGTGCGGCGATACCTGTTTTGACAAGTGGGCACCTAATCGATAAATAGTATAGCCGCCCGGCGATACAGGGGTTACTGTTTTTATTTTATTATTTGAAACAATATAGTCGACCGGCTATACCTTTAAAATATTCGTATATATTTAAAGAGTAGTTCTCTCCCTCACCGGCCTCGCGATCGCCTGCGCAGATGTAACTGTGGCACGATTCATGGATTGTTAAACGATTCGTTCCAAGAAACTGTGGCACAGTTGCCTCGCTACCTCATTCTCCGATGCAAATTTTCTTGCTGTTTGATTTTTGTTTTACTTTGTCGAAAAGATTTCTATTTTTCTAATTTCAGTCGTGTTATCCGCCCCCCAGATTAATTTTCAGTGATAGTTCTATCTAGATGATATGTTAATAACCTGGCTTGATCTCTCTCTCTCTCTCTCTCTCTCTCTGTTATAGGCGTCCCATAAATTGATATTTACATTGTATGTCTTCCCTAATAACCATCTGTTCATGTCAATTTTGTGTGGCAAGTTTTCAGCTTTTGAATGAGTTAGATAAGGTATCAAATCGCTCATATACAACTTCAATTTATATTTTATACAATCAGATGGTGCAAAATTTTCTCACTAGTTATTTTTGCCCTTTTTTTTTAGCATTTCCCTCTGGTAAATTTTTCTGATGTGGATATATATATCTCTATTGTAACTGGCTCATATTGTATCATAGTGATGCCATTTCTGTGTGCTTGTTAGGTTTGTTTTCCATTCGTTTTCAGCTCAGAAAATGATAGCAGTGAGAGGGGAGCTGCTAATAACTCCGAGGGGACCAGTTGACTCGTGTGAGTTGGATTTGATGTGGACTTTATTTTGGAGTTCATTATCATTAGTATAACTGTAATTAGTTTGTTTAATTTGCCTTTTCTATTTCTATCCGGAAAGAGTCATGGTGCATAGACAAAGGGCGTGAGTTGGATCACAGCTTGAGACGTTGTAGTGTGGTGAGCTACTTAGGTTCATTATGTTTAAGATCCTATTGATTGATGAAATTTCCAGCTCATTTTATATTTTTGTTGAAGCTCTAAATGGAACTTGATTTTCAGTAGCTCATCTGTTGCAATTTCACCTTGCTTAAATTGTTCTCTTGCCAACTGCAGGGTTTCCAACTTTTGATACAAGACCTTGCTGATGCAACCGGAGAAGGAAATTTCCGAGCATCAGAAACAAAGGTTAGTTGACTTGCACTAAGAGAATAGAAAAGGTTTCATCCAATTCGTGCTAACTAATCTCATTGCTGTATTGTAAAGAAGGTTTCATTCAATTCATGGTTATGAGCTTTGACTGATTGTTTAGTTTCTGGTAGTTTTATGCCATAGAATCACTTAACCTACTTTTCCTGCTTCATTAGATAAGCAAAATTTCCCCATATTTTTTGGTCTTACTTGATCTTCTTTTGTTGCAGTCCTTAGGAAATGAGTTATCGTTTCAATACTTAGTTAATGTTTTTAAATGAGATTTTCGAACACACAACAGTGTCTATGAAGTTAAATTAATATCTAAGTATATGCTGATTTATGCCTCTTAACTTTCTGTAAGTTTTAATTTGCTCGTTATTGTATGCAGATACCATGAACTGGGTAGTTCTGAGAGAGTCTTTACTCAACATGCTTCTGGTATCCCCTTCTCTGTCAAACCATGAATACTTAAGAGCCTGTTTTCCACTGGTTATTAACTGATTTTTATACCACGACTCTTGCCCTCAAATTGAAGTTACCTTTTGAAGGTGACGAGAAAAGTAAAATACTAAAGCTTGATGAAGGATTGCTTTTGACCATTGTGTGTAAACTGTATCAAACCTATGCTGGATGCACCGATTAACTGATATGTTCGAAGAATTCTGCGGCACAACCAACTGAAGATTTTGATACTGCTGATTTAATTTCTTTGCTTGAGGTAGGAGAGCATACCTGCAAGCCATGCAGGAGTTTCTAATAATGGTAAGCCCCTTAGCAATGTTTTAATATTTGTAGATTCAGTTTATGCACTGGCATTGATTTCGGTCAGATAATGGAGCTCGATGTGTCCAAGATGAGTGCAGATATGCAAGGTTCTACTACCAAGCTGATGGTGTCAGGTATTTCTCTCTCTCTCTCTCTCTCTCTCTCTCTCTCTCTCTTTTTCCTTTCTTTCTCTCTCTTTCTCTCTTCCTTCCCCCCTCTCCTTTCTTCGAAAATACATGCACTTTTTGGATTTGGTGCAGAACTCCTATGGTGGAGATAATTCTGGACGAACTATCTTACAATAGAGATATTCTTTCCTCTTTTCTTCAGGTTCATACTTCTTTTAATCCCTATCCCTCTTTCGCTTGTGGTTTGCCATGTTTCTGTATCCCTTATAATCTGTGGCACAGTTGCCGGCCACTTCACACGGAACAAGTTTCATATCTCTCTCAAAGTGTGACAGTGTAATTGGGTTCATATGCACGTGATGCATGATTAGCAATTTCTTTGAGTTTGTTAAGGTCTCATGTTATATTAGTTTCTAATGCTTCATTCTTAATGTGTTAGAATTATAAAATTGACTATTTATGATAAGCTGGTCACTATGTCTTCTGCCAGTTTTTTATGAGGTTGCATTGCATGTTTCCAATGAACCTAAACGGGGAGCTTGAGGTAGTTGTCCTGAATGCTTTTTGTATTTGGTGTTACCCGTTGTCTGTTTATATTTTCTTGAGGGGATTTTGATCTTGTAATGAGTGTAGTTGAAGCACGCTTTTGCCTCATTGATTATATCATCATTTAGTTTATTATATTCTGCTTCTGTAGCCTTCTGTTCACACTAGATGCGAGCTTATTCGAATATATCAGATGAATTCGTAAATATTTAAAGAGTACAGCCGCGCAGCTGTACCGCTTTTTTTTTTTGGTATATATATTTTAGGCGTATAGCCGCGTGGCTGTACTGTTTTTATATTTTTATATTTTTATACTTTAAATAGTATAGCCGCTCGGCTGTATCCTGTTTAAAATTGTTTGATAGTATAGCCGCTCGGCTATACCTTTTTTTTTAATTGTAAAGAGTATAGCCGCTCGGCGATACCTTTGCAGAACTAGGAAATTAAGCATAATAGAATTTCGACCCACGAAAAAAAAACCACACAACAGAATTGTACGGCCGGGCTCGAATGCTTGGGCTGCTAAAACAAGTCCATATAGCAGGGTGGCCCTGGACTCAAATCATATTTGGGGCTACAATGTGGGGAGAGGCTACAACGTGTAGGAAAAACCATTTTGCTCACAATAATCTCTAGTTACATTTAATTATAATGGAGATATGGAAATTGAAAATAAATTTCTTTGTTATAACTCGTCTTCATTGTGGAAATTGTTTCTACAAATATCGTTGTTATAACTATCATGAGCAAGAATAGCACCATCACAAGTTCATGAGCAAAAGTAGCACTAAATGCACGTGAAAGTTCGGACTATTTAAATACCTCTTATACAGGCAACGTGAGTTAGACTAGTTGGTTAAGGCCGTGAACTCGTCTTGTTTTATCCGAGTTCGAATCCCCCTCCTCTTAAATCAAAATTAGATTGACTTAGAGTAATTTAGAGTTCGCTTGTATAAAAAGAAACCCACTTAAATAGACTATATATTATTGACTCTATAGTCAATATATATCAACAGCATATGGATACCACTCAGATGCAAACATGCTAAAGTGTAAGCAAACAATGTCTAAAATGATATTATTTCTAGAGTTCAACGCGCATTGAACACGAACAAGACAATCCTTGGGAATGCCAATACTCCATATAGCTGTAATAATCATCCCACCCCTAGCATCTAAGTTAAGTTCTAACATGAAAAAAAGAAAGAAAAAAAAAAAGAATTTGGAATCCTAAGCCACCAAGGTATCCCTCTAAATTAAAGATTATTGTTGAAGGAGAATGAACCTCGTTAATTCAAAATATTAAACAATACCTAACAGTGTTATTCTTAGGTTTAACTATTTTAGGGAATATTTTGGAAAGCTAGTTGTCCGTTGCATTTCCACGTGCACCCTCTGCCTAATTTTACACCCAAAATTAAAATTGTTTGATGGAGAGCCGGTGAATTCGCAGAATGCAGCCATTTCTTTCTTGTCTCTTTTTTCTTTCTCCAGTCCCTTTGTTTTGTTGCATGATATAACAACAACCAATCACAATTATACACACATGAAAAAAAAAAAAAAAAAAAAAAAAAAAAAAAAAAAAAACCTAAACACCAACTATAAATTGCTCAATCCTTGCCCATTCAATCGGTACGTGAGCTGAGTTCAGAATGTCGTGAAACAGTTCGGTCCATATCCCGTCTGAAGTGTTTGCAGTGCTAATTGACTTGAAAATAAATTAAATTAAAGAATTTTCTCCCTTAATCAGACCATCCTCCACCTAATTAAGAGCATATGGGTAAGTTCCAAATGGGACACACCTCCCAAAATTAGTAGACAAACATGACTACAATTAGGTGTTTTTGAGTCATTCAATACATAACAAAATAATTTTTTGAGTAATTCGATGAATTTTTAAAATCATAAAATAGACAGACCAAGTATATATATCCTTAACCCTGAGAAAAGTATGTGTATTTATATATAAAAACAAAAACTGAAAAAGAGGAAGAAAAAAAAAAGGACACACCAAGTATGCATAAATACAAGCAAAGGACCTGTAGGTCATATGACATAACTTTTTAACCGAGGTAGTGCGATTGTGCCTACAGCTAAAAGAGACAAAACAACCCAATGTTCATCATATATTTTCTCTGTGTTATAAATTAATATGCAGAAAGTAGTACTATTTTCTTGTTTCTGCATTAGAAGAAAACCTGTACAATCTGGGCGCTCCTCCTAATTAAGCTTTGCTTTCTTCTTTTAATTCTGTTGTTAATCCTGATTTAGTTAATGATTGATTAAAACAGGAGGGTTAAACCAGATGCTATTTTCCAATGATATTCTTGAATTAATGTTATGTTTTTTTTTTTCCTTTTTGGGGCAAGGAAAGCTTTTCCCTGTGGCAGAAAGAATGGAACCCATCAATGAATAATGGAACCTGATCAATACCTATGGAACAAACTTCATAGTTCCAAAGTTTGAAATTGTCAGGGAAAGAAAGTGATTTTTTTTTTTTTTTAAAGACAGATTCTGATCACCAAGTAGTCTCTTTACATTTGAGGTGAGAATTGATCCATATTATTGTTGCTATATGTAACAAATAGGATTATAAAACAAATCAAGAAAATACAAAACTGCAATGTACTTGGTAATTGATTACTAATAAAAATTCACTTGAACGATAAATAATTTAACAAATATCAATATTTTTTCTTGCCAACAATTATACTATACTTTGCATCCAAGTTCGAATCTCCTTACCCGTAGTTTAAATTAGATTAAAATAGAATATCGTTTATATACTATACAAATATGGGCTGATTTTGTATTGTGGAAAATTTGCAGCTCTATAATATGAAGCTTAACCTAAGTTTGACCTGATTAATAAACATTGTTTTGGTAAATGTTGTGATCAAAATTAAGCGTAGTTGTTTCGACAAGTCAGTCAAAATACAAAGCAAAAGGGGTTAAATGGGGCGCTCAGATCACAATAGAAAAAGGAATTGTGTAGTATGCAGCGCAGAGAAAGTACACATTTGTGGGCTGTCTTCCCGCCATTAACTCCACTCCCCCATCCTACACCACACCACACCACACCACATCCTCCTCACCTCACCTCACAAACCAATCCATCACTCTCTCTCCCTCTCTCTCTCTAAAAGGATTTTCTTTTTCTGGGTTTTCTTCATTTTTTCTTGATTATTATAAATAAAACTCTCTCTCTTTTTTTCTCTCTCTGTGTTTCTCTGTGTCTTAAAAACGACAACAATTCTGGAACCTCCCCTGCTATAAAAGAGTAAGTTTGGTTAGGGTTTTAGAAACCCACTTGGGAAAAAAAAATAGAAGAGAGAGAAGAATTTAAAGAGAAAAAAAAAAGCTAGATCAACATCAATTGGGTAGCTATATACTATATAGTATAGCTGATTTAAGTTCCTCTCTTTCTATCATCCCACTTCTCCTCTTCAGAGAAAACAGACATATATTTCATATTCTTGGAGAAAGAGAGAGAAATTGAAGATAGAAAAGATGGTGAGAGAGGCATATGCATATGGTTCAACAACTGCAGCTAGTGATATGGAAATGAGTGGAGGTGGCGGTGAAGGGGGTGTGATGAGTAATATGAAGCCTGCATGGCTGGAGGGTTTGATGGCTGAGACATTCTTTGGTGGATGTGGGGTCCACGAGAACCGCAGGAAGAACGAGAAGAACGTTTTCTGTTTGCACTGTTGCCTTAGTATTTGCCCCCACTGCCTCCATTCTCACCGTTCTCACCCTCTTCTCCAGGTACTTTTTCTACTATTCTCACACACTGCCACTGCTGATTCTGATGCTATCACTCACCAAATTTGCTCACCAAGCCCACCACACTGCGACTGTGCACACACCATCCATCCATCACCAACCCCTTGCACACAGCTACCTTGTTTTCCTCAAAATTTTTGTTTCTACCCTTTTGAATTTTCATCATCTTTGGACCAAAGTTTCTTTCTTTCATTGGCTTCTAGCTTGTTTGAGCTTTCCTTTTCAGTTTTTAAGCTTGTCACCCTCAACCCTTTGTGTTTTTGGATTTTTTTTTTTTTTTATATAAATTTTGGTTGGAATTTTCTGGTTATTCGGAATCCTGTTGAAATTTTTACTGTAGAATTCTGTCTGCTACAGTGAATTCAGGTGCATCTATGTACCATGGCTTCAATTTTTGTTATTTATCTGTACAATTTTCTCAATTTCCTCTCACATGTACCTTGGAATTTTGTTTAACTTTTTTCTTTATATGGGTTTGGTTTTTCTTTGGTTCTTTGCACAATTAAGAAATTCTTCCAGTGAAGAGCTCATTGCTTATGAATTTTACCCATTATTTTCCTTTTAAAGGTGTACCTTTCTTAATCTCTAAGAATTGGATGATTTATGATCGTCCTAATTTCTGTCTTAGTCTCTTAGTGTTTTGTGTTTCTCTATGGAAACTATTGTCTTAAAACAACCTCTTGCTGAAATGTTGTAATTCATTGTTCAGAAGCAATTCTAGCCTTTTCCCAAATTTTGGTGAATTTCTCCCTTTGATTTTTTTTTTCCTTCTTTTTTAAAAACATAATAATGATCTTGATTCTGGCCACATAAACGAAAAAGAAAATAAGAGAAGATAATTCTTGTTGAATGTTTGAATCTCGTCAAAATTGTCTTATTCATGCAATTGTATTTTATTTTATATATATGTATATGGTATGCCAAAAAGGTTTGATGATGCCTTCTTTGAGTCCCACTTTTTAGATTTGGTTTGTTTCCTATTAATAGAAGATTTCTTTTTCATCCATTTCCACCCTGCAAAGGTTCCCCAGCTGTTGCTTTCAATGAAAGCGAAACTTTGACCACATTTTTCCACTCTTTTTCTAGTGTTTCATTCCCAAAGGATCCCACTCCTTTAATTCAATTCAATTCAGCTCAGTTCATTTATTTTTCCTTCATGAGAGAGAAGTTGGTTGCCTACCCATTTCACCTAAATTTCCAAATCCAAGCGGTTATTGCCTGGTGAGGTAATAAGTTGTTTTTCAACAAGTTACAGTTTTTTTTTAAGGACATTTCCTATTGAGAGGGGCGATAGCACACTACACTCGCACACACTACACGGATGTTAGGACTCGAATCCAAGACCTTTTCCGGAGGAGCATTTGCCCCAAACCACTGCACTAGTGAATCCTTTGCTTAACAAGTTACTATATGTATGTGGGAAGGAAGATTTTTTAACTTAGAAGTTGCAAAACATGTGTTGGATTATGGTGGTAAACTTAATTACTTTGTATCATACATTGCAGAAAAATTACCTCAAGTAAAATTGTTAATGTTAAGGGTAATTTAATTGTAGGGTAAATCAACATTTGTTGTGGCTATAAACAAGTCCAATTGAGTTTTTTTTTTTTTGGCTCCATGTGACAGGTTAGGCGATATGTATACCACGATGTGGTTCGATTGGGTGATCTTGAAAAGCTCATTGACTGTTCCTATATTCAGGTATTCAATTTTGACTTAAAATAAAACAAAACCAAATTAAAGAAAAGAAAAATACTTAAATCTTTGTGTTTTTTTGTTTGAGTTTGATGATGATGATGGTGGTGAAAGAACTGAGAGCATAGGGTTTTTCAATTCTGTTAACAACTGTGTTCCTTATTTGGTGGCAGCCCTATACAATCAACGGTGCCAAAGTGATATTCTTGAATCAGAGGCCCCAGTCTAGGACTTGCAAGCAGGGCTCTGCCAATATCTGCCTCACTTGTGACAGGATTCTTCAAGAGCCTTTCCACTTTTGTTCTCTCTCATGCAAGGTCCATTTCATTTCATCATGTCTCTCTACCCTTTCGGTCTCTCATTGTCCAATTGCCTGTTTGAATGAAGGGTTTTTACTTATTTTCTGACACACCAGCCAATATTTTTCAACTTCATTTGCAATCTTGGAAGCATCTTTGCTTTTTGGCTTAAAGATAAAAGAAAGAAAAAAGTCCCATTCCAAATAACACTTATTCAGTTTATGTAGAAGACAAAAACTGTGTTTTAATGCTCATACTGCTTGTTTCTTTTCTCTGCGCCTCAGACTTTCAAACTTTGCTATTAGAATCTTTGCTGCCAAACTAGGCCTTGATATATACATTAGCCATGCTCTTGTTTTTTTCTTTTGGAAGAAGTCTTACGTTCAGATCTCCCCTCTCCCCCGTTGATAAAAAAAACTAATGTGACAGACATGTAACAAATCTATACGTGGCAGGTTGATCACCTGGTGTACCAAGGGGAAGATTTATCTGGCATACTCTACCGATTTGATGAGTCCGACTTCACAATTTCTCAATTTGAGGGTTTACGCATGGATGGTTCGGAGGTGATCGATGATGATGGCCACATGATTCCTAGCTCCATCATAGAGGACCCTTTGCAATATAGAGCTTCATCATGCTCCAATGAGGCCACAAGTGATTCAGTAATGTCGCGAGAACCGGAGGTCATCAAGAAGAAGAAGAAGAAAGGCAGTGGATTTCTCCCGGGGATTGTCCTCTCCCTTAGCAGCCGGAGAAAGGGTGCTCCTCAGAGAGCTCCTCTTTCCTAGGCAGAGAGACTTTAAAAATAATAATAATATGAATAATAATTAGAGGGCTTAAATTATTGGCATCATATGAAGTATGTTATTAGGTACCATAATACTATAAGGTTGGTCGGTCCACGGTTAATATAGATTAATTAATTTAATCTGTGTAATGTTCTAGCATATGGTTATTGTCTGTATTTGAGTGTTGTTAATTGCGGGGTGCTTTATTTTCTTTCTAACTGGGATTTGCATGGGGCATTTCCATTACTGAGTTTAGGTGTCTGAAGAGAGACTGATCACTGATCTAACGGTTAGACTCTCATCTCCACCAATTTTGTAACTAAAGTAATGGAGCTTGCGGGTATATACTATATATTTTCTTTGATTTATGATTAATGTTCTTCTCGGAGCCAAATATTTCAATACTATTTAGTATACTTGAATTTGGCATATAGTTCTTGTTCTTGACTGGTGTGCTTGATTCTCATTTTTGTTTTTGTGGGCACTATTTTTGGAGTAAAACTTGAACTTAACATGTTTCATATCTCTTTCTTCCTATCTTCCGTAACTACATGGAGAAAGGGGTATGAAATATAAGATAGGTAAGTCCTACTAAATGAAATGACATTATGAGATAGGGCTGGCATTTGGTTCTGAAATACCGAAATGTCGACTGATATCTATTGCAAACAAGCTGACAAGCCACGAAAACCGAATGAGAATGTCGGTTTTTTGGTACAAGCCAACAACTCTGGTTGTCGAGGCGGTTCCTCAAACCCAATACCGACGATTTTGGTTGACAAAGACTACTTCGTTGATCCAATCGATTCACAGTTAACTGATCATTATCAGGCTGGTACCAGTCTCAAATATTGCAATATCGCCCATTGTTAGTAAGTTTGCAGTTGCCGAGAAAAATTTCGATTCCCGAACCGATTCCACCCCTTGTTATAAGGCGCAACCTTTGCCAATATGGCAATATGAAATGAACTAGTTCATGCATAACAATGAGAGGTAACTTATATATATATCCAATGGATAGGGTTTGATGCTCCAATCTTGAGAAATGAAGCAAAATCTGTGATATAATTTTGTGATAATGGTAAAACTCGTGTCCTTTGTTGAATATAAAACAACACAAAAATTGAAGTTGTTTGGTTGGGAAGCAGGAAAGTTCACGGGAAAAAAGGGTCGATCCAAATTGGGTAAGTTTGATATTTTGTAGATATCTGATAGGCCAGTAGCTCTTTTCGTTTTTGGCAATGGTTTGACCCAACATAAAATCATTAGAAAAGCATTTGTGCTATGACCTATCATGACACTTCATCTACGTCTCCTGTGAGTCCCCGTGGGAGCATAGCATTGGCCCGACGTAGAAGCACCAGAGCAGCTCTTTTTCAAAGATGGGTGGTTCTGTAGGCCCTACTTCACCCAACATGGTACACTTATTAAAGGTGTAATAAGCTTCCTCAATTTTTTTACTGTTTGGGTAAAAGTAAAACTTTGTTTTCACGAGGTATATACTCATTCCTTTGTGTGAGTTATTCTCGTCATTCTTTTGTGAGTATGAAATTGGTCGCGTGATGAGTGTAATAAGAGCACGTAAGTGTATACTTTGATCTACATAGGTCACTCTAGTTGTTTTTTTGTCGGGTATAAATTTAATATAAATTTTGAATTCATGTCCAAATCATAATATAGATTTGAATAATTTAACGTCACATAGTCATGTTGTTTACAATTCATTTCATTCTTCAAATCTTGCTCTTTTGTTATCATTGCTCGTGCAACTTTGTAAGCTCAATTTGTTTTTCCTTTGAAATAAGTAAAGTCATGCATGTTTGATAACACTTTTTGTTATATAATTCAAGAGTGAAAATTCACTTTTGGATTCTTAGGGTCTGTTTGATAATTATTTTATTTTTAGTTTTTAGTTTTCATTTTCTGTATTAGAGTATATAAGAAAATGATAGTGAGAATGAGAATGAGGATGAGAGGGATGAGTAATAAAAGTGTAAACAGAAACTTGAAAGTGAAAACAATTTCAAATAGATTTCAGTTTTTAGTTTTGGTTTTCACTTTTGTTACTACTCCCTCTCATCCTCTCATCTCATCTTTCCTCTCAATCTCATCTCCATCTCATCCTCCTCACTCTCATTCTCATTCTTTTTCTCTATACTCTAGCACAAAAAACAAAAATAGAAATGATTATCAATCCACCCCTTAATTATTGTATACATTCTATGCATTGATCTTATCCCTTTCGTACCTCTATCATTTTCTCCAAGGTCCCGCATGCACATAATTTTATAAGGTGGAAAAGATGGAAGAAAGAAATCATGATTTGAATTTGAACAAATCTGTGCATATAATTGAAGAAGGATCTTGTTATCTTAAGGTTCATAAAGGAGTGATTGAGGCTAGCTGCTAGTCTTACCACAAAGGTACTACCCTAAAGATTAGGGCAGGCAAGATTTTAACGACAGAAGGATCTTGGATTGGATTTAAGGGCTGGGATTAGCAAGAGCCAGAGAGTTTGGGGTCTTAAAAATTTGGACACAACTACAACAGTGTACTAGTGTAGCCTGGTTTTGCAGCACAAGATGACAATGATAAGCCCGAGGCTTTGCTGAGCTTCCCACCACATGCTGCTGCTGCTGCTGCTGCACTACAATTGAGCCCTTTGGAATCTTTTTTAGTTCTAGCAACAAAATCCTGTCAGCCTTTTCATTTTGACATTATTACATTTCACCCTCATGAGATGCTTGCTTTCTAGTTTAACATCCATTTTTCTTTACTTCATTTTCACTGCTATTCTTTTCCTTTTTCGGGAGGAAAACTTACATGTAACGAGTGTATATTCTCCCTTGTTCTTATAGCACTCCAATAGTCACCAAGCTTTGTGACAAGTTTCACAAGAATAAGAGGGTGTATACTCCGTCCAATTTCAAATTGTCTAACAACATAACATTTATACACACATACAAATACATTTAGGGCAAGTTATTGTATGAGTATAGGTGTTAAGACTTATGCCTGGGAATTGACAACTCTTTTGAGGTAATATGTGTGCCAAAGTGTGTGGGAGACGGACTTGCATGCTATCTTCATCCAATCATGCTATTATGGGCGGAACTAGCAACAAGGCTACCATGGACTCTAGCCCAGGTAGCTTTTAAAAAATATTTAAAAATATTATATGTATTTTAATGTGATTTTACTCTATAAAAAATTAGTAGTCCACCCAAATATCTATTTTTTAGTTCCTATCCACGTAGTATTTGTGAATTCGTACGACTTTTGTTCTTTTCTTACATTTCTTTTTGGTTTCTTGTAGCCTAGTAACCTCCATTGTCCACTCAACCTATAGGCTTATAATCATCTTCTATTTAATTTGTTTGTTCACTTAAGAGCATCTTCAATGAAGATGTCAAATAATATGTATCAAAATTGGATTTGATGGCTGATAACTTTAGTCAATGGAACTAGCATGGTTTATATGATTATCTCCTACATGAATCGAACTTGAGCGCACTTAGGGGATAGGGGGAGAGTTTGACCCACTTTTCCACTGTGGTGTCACCTCATGTGCATGGTTTATATGATTTAATGTATACTTTTATTTCTACAAAACTATAGAAATTGTAAGTAAACATTAGATTTTAAATTAATAACTTTAGCTAGCCCACCAGTTGAAAAATTTCTAGTCCTAATTCCGCCCTTACATGTTATGTCATATAGCATCCCTATTATGCGTGATAAAATATAATTAATAAAGAATAACAGAACAGTGTTATCCTATAATATATAGCTTTTCTGAGTGTGCGTGGGCACACACAAAATGTGGGTAGAAGAAAAATCTGATTTTGCAGTCAAAGTATATATATTGAATTCAATAAAGCAGCTACTACTACTAGTGTATGGCTTTTGGGATGTGATCAGAATAATCGCATTATTAGATAGGTGGAGTCAGGTGGATCACATGGGTATGTCACATTCTATTTTCGGGTTCCATTGTAGGAACCTACCAACCTAGGCAGCACACAGGGTATCTTACTTGGCGTTCTTGGGGGTTGTTACACGTGTCAATACTCCCATGCAGAACATTATTTTTTACTCTCCAACCATTCTCAGCAGCATTACACAGATCGATTCACTGTTCACAGCATTTACAGTGTCTCAATTTTCTTTTTATTTACTCCGAGATTTGCATGTAGGATTTCTCATAAATTTCTCCTCATGTGAGAATTCATAGGTATATCTTTTTTTTTTCTTTTTTTCCAGATTGTTTTACATAAGGGTAAAGATTTGGGGGGGTAAAAAACAAAGGTACAAAGTGAAAGTTTAATCAAGAATCTAGTCTGCCTCCAATTCATGGATATGGAAGAGAAAGAAAACTGATCTTTGTAAAGTCTGTGGCTCTGTCGGCTTACCTTTTTTTCATTATTTTCTTAATTAAAAAAAATTAAAAAAAAAAGAGGTCTTGGAGTATTAGAAGTCTCAACAAGTACACTGTCTGTATGCATACTTTCCACAGTATTGGACCTTTTTCTAACCTTTCTTCTTCTGCACACACAATTATATCAAAGAAATCTGAATTAAAGAATGCAGAAGATATTTTTCCTGTTGATAATCTGCTTCCTTCCATGTCATAAGTTGTTCTTCCTGTCTTACTGAAGGGTTTATTTATTTATTTTTTCTGTTTCATCCCCAATAAAGAAAGAAGAAAAGGAACAGAGCCCATGGGCCTGAGTCATGGGCTACCATGCAGCCTGCAGTTGCAGAAAGTAAGTATTATGGGCTTGAACGAGCTTTCCAATGAAAATGTGTGTTATACACAAGTTTTGGAGAGAGAAAGGTTTTGGAGCAAGAGAGAGAGAGAGAGAGAAAGGGATGGAAGAAGGGGTTTGTGGAGTTTCCAAGGAGGAACAAGTTCGAGGAAATCCAAAACACATAATTGAGGTTGATTTGATTAGAGGGTTGTCGTTGGGTTGTGGTTCTGGTTATGATTATGTCACCCTCTCAAACAAGAAACGAAAAAGGTTCATAAACTCTGTAGTAATATTACAGTTGAAAAGAAAATTTCTTATTAATTTATTAGGCACTTAATATACACGCTATATCATTATATTATAAATATTAATATAGACAGAACCTTTTGTTACAATGACATTGTCAACATGGAAAATGCTTCGAAACTCAAGTTTTTTCTTTTTTAACGTACGAGATACTTAACATGCATACTACACCATTACGTTATAAACATAATCAGATTGTAGATATTTAATGTGATAATGACATAATTGAAACGAGAAATGCTTAAAAACTCACTTTTTTTTCCTTTTCAACTTATGAA